TGTTAGTTGTAACGGTGAACTCACTGAGAATTATCGCCCGAGTCCGTGCTTCCCGTCAGTCCTGTTGACAATTTTGACCCTGTTTGGCTTTCCTGGACAAGCTTTGGATCTTTGATTGCTTTGCTGCACTGTACAGCTGTATGTTACCATAACATCTGTCCATATATGATAGCATTCTTAAATGTTACTTCACATGGTGATTTTCATTTAACTGAAACATTTTCTCATGTCTTCACTCTTTGGTTCAGTGAGGAAACACCAGCAGGCCGACTGTTCTGTTACATCTTTATTGATTATTGATCGGACAACTTTCATACTGCAGTATTTCTACACATCAGCTCATTGCTGTGCTGAAATAGGGCCTTCAACAGAAATGATCATGTAAATCATTTAAGTAGATTATGTTGAACGGCAGCTGTAAAATATCATATGCAACTCTAAATTTGGACAATCAGCATTTTCCATAAAGCCTGCCATCTGTGGAACAGACTGATTACAGATATTAGATCCATTACACTGAAGGTCAAAGGTTGGTTAAAGCTAAATCAGAGCTGTAGTCATTTTAATTTTTTTTACATTGTTTATTAATTGTAGTTGTATTCATGCTGTATTTTGGTTTCATGTAACTGAGTCTTATAATGTTGTGTGCTGTGAACGTAAGCCCAACAAGGGCCAACGGCTGGAAATTAACAATAGCTATAAGCGTATGTGCAGTACATCAGTTTCATGTTTTATATTTGGACTAATTTAAACTGTCCCTTTGAAATCAAAAATGAATAATATACACTCATCAGCTGGTACATCTGTTTGACTGCTTATTAACACAAATATGTAATCAGCCAATCACACGACAGCAATTCAACACATTTAGGCACACAGACAGGTCAAGATGACCTCCTAACATTTAAACTGAGCAGAATGTTTAAGCGACTTCGTGCCATGGTTGTCGGTGCCACATAAGTTAGCCTGAGTATTTCAGAAGCTGCAGCTCTGCTGGGATTTTCCTGCACGATCATCTCGAGTGATGCACAACACGTCAGACCCTGAAGCAGAGAGGCTACAGCAGCAGGAGACCACACTGAGATCAGAATCAGAATCAGAATCAGAATACTTTATTGATCCCTGGGGGAAATTATTTTTTGTTACAGTGCTCCATTTAAAACCAACATTAAGACAAGACAGACAATACGCTAACTAAGAATAGTACAATATATACATATATATACATACATACATACATAAGTCACTTATAAATAAATAGTTGGAAAAGAAACATGTGTAGTTGTAGCAGCAAACAGTGTGTTAGGTGGAGGAGTTGTACAGGGAGCCACAGGCAGGAATGATTTCCTGTGTCGTTCAGTGGTGCTTTTCGGTAATCTCAGTCTCTCACTGAACGAGCTCCTGTGACTGACCAACATGTCATGGAGTGGGTGGGAGGTGTTATCCAACATTGTCTTTATCTTGGACAGCATCCGCCTCTCCGACACCACCTTGAGGGAGTCCAGCTCCATCCCCACAACATTGCTGGCCTTACGGATCAGTTTATTAAGTCTGTTGGCATCTGCGACCCTCAGCCTGCTCCCCCAGCATGCAACAGCATAGAGGATCGCACTGGCCACCACAGACTCATAGAAAAATCTACTCCAGATCTACTCCAGTCTGGAGGAAACTGAGCCCATTTGGCACAAACTGGGCAACAAAAGATTAGAAAACCTTTGCTGGTCAGACGAGTCTCAAGTTCTGCTGAGACACTTGGCTGGTTGCTGCTGGTGCGACGTTGCAACATTAACTGAGCATCATTTAAATGCCAACCTGAGCGCTGTTGTTAACCATGTCCATCCCTTTCTGACAGCGGCCCCATTCTCTGATTGCTGCAAAGATGCTCAGGTAGGTGCTACGTGTCAAAGTATCATCCCCGAAGCATCACACTGCCTTCTACCCACAATGCTCCTGGTGCCAGGTGTTCCCCGGGTAAGCGACACATGCACGGTGACTAATCAGACCAGGCCACCTTCTCCCATTGCTCCATGGTCCAGTTCTGATGCTGATCATTGGTCATCATATTCTCTATATATGTTACACCTTGGTCGTATTATTGAAAACTACAAACTCTCTTATCATTGCTACGCAGATGACATCCAAATTTATTTTGAATTGAGTGAGGAAGAAACTTCCTCGATGCTTCGCTTCTTCGAGTGTATAAGTGAAGCTAAAGAGCAATTCCCGCATCCTTAATGACAAGAAAACGGGAATTATAATCTTTGACAGTCACACCCCTGGAGCCCATCCAACTGGTGTCCTCGGGCCCTTTGCTGATTATCTTTCCGATTCTGCGAGTAATTTGGGTGTTTACCTGGACGGCATGTGTCCTCTGTGATTAAATCTTGTTTCTATCAACTTTGTTTAATCTCTAAGGCCATGCCATACTTACCACGTGAGGATCTAGAAAAGCTTATCCATGCCTTTGTCACATCCAGGTTAGACTATTGCAACTTCCTATACACTGGGCTTCATTCTGCCCTTCTTCATAGATTGCAATTCACCCAACACGCAGCGGCTCGCCTTCTAACTGGTACTAGTAGGTTTGAGTCTATCACCCCAATTCTCACTGGCCTCCAATTAAATACTGCATTGATTTTAAAATCCTACTGCTTACTTATAAAACCATAACATCGCACCCAGCTACCTTATTGCTCTCCTTAGCGTGTATACTCCCAGTAGTATTTTCTCCAACTAAACTCTGATAAAACAGAAACTCTAATTATTGCTCCAGACCACATGGTCCCAGAAATTAGACAGCATATCAGCTTCTTAGACCCTTCTGTAAAATCAAGCCTTAGAAATCTCGGCGTCATGTCTGACAGCTCGATGTCGCTCGAGCAGCACTCTAAGCAGCTGTTTTTATCATTTACGGAATATTTCTAAACTCAAGCTTGAACTTGAGATGATTATTCATGCTTTTATTTCTTCTCGTTTAGACTACTGTAACGGCCTTTTTACTTGTTTTAACAAATCAGCCTTAAATCGTCTTCAGACTGTGCAGAAGGCTGCAGCATGACTCTTAACAGGCACCAAGAGAAGATCGCATATCACTCCAGTCTTGGCCTGCCTTCACTGGTTGCCTGTAAGTTTTAGGTTTCATTTTAAAATTTTAGTTCTAACCTTTAGGGCCCTGCATGGTCAAGCTCCTCAATATTTATCTGACCTGCTGAAACCACATACATCTTCTCGGGCTTTAAGGTCATTAGATCAGAGACTGCTGGTGGTACCGCGCACTCGTTTTAAAACTCGTGGTGATCGGGCCTTTCAGACTGTGGCACCACGGCTGTGGGATTCTCTCCCACTGTCTCTTCGCTGCACGGACTCCACTGATTCTTTTAAGAAACAGCTGAAGACATTTTTATTTAGAAAAGCATTTGATTAATTTCTTCTTATGCTGTTTTTATTGTTTTATTGTTTTACATTGTTTTATTTACTGTTATATTGTTTTTATATTCCCATTTCCTGTGTTGTAAAGCACTTTGTGATTTTTATCTGTGAAAAGCGCTATATAAATAAATTTTACTTACTTACTTAGAACACTGAGATCTTCTGACCAATTGCTTTTGGTGCAACCTGGGTCACGGCTGAAAACCAGAGGTGACCGTGCCTTTGCTTCAGTCGCACCTAACCTCTGGAATAACCTCCCTCATGCTATTCGCACATCTGACTCGATCCAGACTGAAATCCCACCTTTTAGCTCAGCCTCCCCGGCCTCCTAGAGCAGGCCTTTTAAGTGTACTTTCTTGCCCTCCCCTTTCCTCTCTTTTGCTTATATTGTTTTATTGTTTTCATCGTTAAGTCGTGCTTGCTTATCTGTGTACTGTGCTTGTTTAATCAGTGCCTCCCACCTGCTAGCTTATCTGCCTTTGTACTTTACTATTGTTTTATTGGATTATGTGAAGCACTTTAGCTACCTCTGGTTTTAAATGTGCTATACAAATAAAGTTGTATTGTATTGTATCATTGGTGGTTTCGGTGGTGGGCAGCGGTCAGCACAGGCACCCTGACTGGTCTGCAGCAACCAAACTCTTTGAGCTACAGCACTACTGTCCTTATGCTTTCCCCTGCTTCTAATATCTACTGTGAGGACACCGTGCTCACTCGCTCCCTAACACATCCCACCCACTACAAGGCGCCACGATCAAGAGATAATCAGTGCTCCTCACTTCGCCTGTGAACATTTAAAATGCCTCACCAGTGAATACAGTCACACGTGCAGCGCAGCTGGAGAACATGATGTGTTTTAATAACAGTCCACAGGTTTGTTGCACTGAAAGAAACTCGGCCACAGTTTCATTTTCAGCAAGTTTATTTTTTTCTTTTTTGAAACAGCTCACAATGTTTTCAAAACATTTGACTTTCCTCGCAATCTCCAACACGAGCAAGCAAGACATTAACATCTTCCAACATGGTCAAAGTCGTCGCCGAATGACATTTGGAAGCAAACTATTTCACGAGAGTCCACTTTAAAAGAAGTGAGAAGCAATCGGGCACATAACAACCAATAAGAAGACTGTACATGAGTGAAACCGGACTAAAACACTAAGAGGCCGTCTCGCGGCGCAAAGGAGCAGTGATCTGACAAAATTAACCAAATGCCCTAACAGTGAATTACTCCTCAGCCTTGCATGCGGGTCAAGTGTGCGTGCGTGCGTGCGTGTGACTGTATGCATACGTGTGCACTTGTGTTCCACTGTACAAACAGTAAATTGGGGCGATCGTGGCTCAAGAGTTGGGAGTTCGCCTTGTAATTGGAAGGTTGCCGGTTCGAGCCCCGGCTTGGACAGACTCGGTCGTTGTGTCTTTGGGCAAGACACTTCACCCGTTGCCTATTGGTGGTGGTCAGAGGGCCCGGTGGCGCCAGTGTCCGGCAGCCTCGCCTCTGTCAGTGCGCCCCAGGGTGGCTGTGGCTACAATGTAGCTGCCATCACCAGTGTGTGGATGTGTGTGTGACTGGTTGTGTAAAGCGCTTTGGGGTCCTTAGGGACTAGTAAAGCGCTATATAAATACAGGCCATTTACCATTTACCATAAATTACATAGAAACCTAACGTGTTCTAATAAGGCATTATGTGGCAAAACAGAGAACACCGAGTCCACAGAGCAAAAAACAGCATCGATGCCAGAAAATCTGTCGTTAAGGCCAAGAAACGGAACAAAGTGCCTCATGAACAGGACGCAGAGCTGCGTGAAATCAAGCTCGAGTCTTGAGGAAAAATGTCAGCACAGACACCGTTTGATGATCCGAGCCAGGGACGAGATGACGAAAGGAAACATCGGTTTGTCGCTCTGGGTCAGTGAATGGGAAGGTTTCAGAACAGCTGCAGTTTGCATGCAGAGACATAAAGGCTGTTTCCCACTGCAGGGGGGCGAAGAGCAGCGTGTGTGCACTGACTTCACAGGTGGGGACAGTAGCATAACGAGCTGGGACCATACATAATACATTCATGAAGACGTCTTTACGAACAAAATGAGTGAGGTCAACAAAAAAAAGAACACCATCGGCTCCACGGCAACACGCCGACGTCTGCTAACCGACTGCGGCACAGTCAGGCGAGGAGGGCGGGAGCACAATATTTAACGCATCCATATATACTTTCTGCCCCTGATGCAACGCCAGGCTGTCGGACGTGAAGCTCTGCAAACTTTCCCTGAATGGACTGTTTTATTTTCTCATGATAAAATCCACTATGACTGTGTGGGACCACCCACAGGGACACAGTTCTCTCTAAAAAGATGCCAAATGAACAATAAAACGACGAGATACAAAGTGAGCCCGACTCTCATTCACAGCAGTCTGTGCCCACGGCCGGCCCGGTACCTCTTCGGACTTTTCAGCAGACGGACGGCGCTGCCTCAGCCACGGCCGCGGTGATGGGCTGGTGTCTGCTCCGACACAGTTCCCTGAGAACCCCAAACACGCTTCCTTGAGCACTACAGCTATGGCAAAATGCTGCGGACAATAAATCGCGGTCCTGAACAACACAAACGAAACACAAAAGAACTCAATTTTACCAAACGACGTGGTGCAGCATCACAAGAAGAGGACATTTTAAAAGCCGATATTTACAAATTCATTCAGGTGATCTCGGCGATGCTAGCAGGATGGGAGGGTGTCAAAGCCAGGAATCGTCCAATCGCGTGCCGCCTCTACTGACATAACACGGTGCTGCTGGTGGAAAAGAAGAGTGTACCTACGTGATGCCACCAGTCACCTGTGTGCGTCCCGATCCGTCAACAGGACAAACAGGAACCACGATCCACAGTTAGCTCCTCTCACAGGGCACCAGCGTCACATCTACCGCCACAGGACAAACTGTACTCTTACCAAAATATGTTTAAACATTGTGTATACAGCGTAAGTCTATATGTTTGTGTGTTTAAATGTGTGTTTTTTGCATTCTATATTCCAGCCTCGGGATGCTTATTTTGGCTTTAAGCAATGGACGCCTCCTATGGACGGCGAGTTTGCGACAGGGTCACGCTTTCCCTGACGAGCTCCACAAACTCAAATCCTTCACAGTTTGCTCCAGCGTCCACCTTTTCCTCCCGCTCCTTTTTTGACCCCCGTATATATTTTTAACATTATAAAAAATAAGTTATTGCGCATCCAAAAAAAGTGCAATGTACATTTGAAAAATATTTCTCTCTCTTTACACATTTCCATTTTTTCTTGACGTTTTTCTGCTAATTGGGGTGGATTCCTACAGATGACTTTGGGGTGGTGGCGAGCTTCCGCCCGGTGGCTCTGCGCTCCATCGTGCCGCACTGCTGACGGAGAGCGAAGGGGACTAAAGGGTTGAAGGAGAGGAAAGAAGGGAACAGAGAGAAATGGGCGACGGGGACGCCACGCTATGCGATAACCATGGGAACGTCGTCTGAGAAGCCGCTGATCATGGGAGCATCTTCGTCGTCATCACCTGTTAACAAAGGGAAAATGCGTGTTTAGAAAGCTTCGTGGCTTCGTGGCTGTTGGAATCAATTTGTTCAAACGTCAACACGCCAGAGAGAAGTGGACCCGACTGCACGCTAGTACAGCAGCCATACGGCGATGCGCCCTGCTTTATTGGCTGTTTCACTTTAGAAGAAGTTCAGTATGGTGAACATCTGCAAGCAGCCAATGAGAAACTCACATACTGAGGTAAGAATTCAAGTCAGAATTATGGTCATTTTTCACATTGGGCCACGTTTTTATTGCAGTCAGAGCAGGAAGCTAGGTCCAGCTTAGCAGCGTGTGAGCTAGCTATACCAGCTTCATAGGGTGGGGCAGGCTGACTCTTCTATTGCAACCATGCTGAACTGCTAGGGTCAAAGGTCATGCCAAACTGAACAGAAAGGTGAAACTTCGTGGCAGGTGATTAAAAACATGTATCCCTCCGCCAACCTAAAATGTAAACGACCTTTATAAAAAACCTCGTTTTCCAATTCGTGTCTCGTTTCTCGAATCGATAAGAAATAATTACCCAGTTCATCCCCGGAGGAGAAGATGGCCGAGCCGAGCCGAGAGTTGTAGTGGGAGTTGGCAAAGGCGGTAAAATTGTTCTGCAGCCGCCGGTGTCGGAGGTAGAGAACCACCAATCCGCCGCAAACAGCCAGCAGCAGCAGGAAGAGGACGGGAACCACCACGGCCGCTGTGTCGCCTGAGTGGGCCTCGCTGCGGGATGCATCGCTGGTCCCTGTGCAGGAGGGGAAAAAGCATTTACAGAAAAGAAATGAAGTGTTTGTAATCCCTGGAATACTGTTAGGTTTCTCTGGGCTGCATGAAGGCGCTGCTAACAGCCCAGGATTTAGGAGCCGTTATGCTCCTAAATGGCTCCTAATCAAACAACTTAAACTCACATTTGTGGATAACTTTAATTCATTTGAACCTTTTTTTGTAGTGATTTTTATTAAAAACAATGACAGCATCAAACTGAATTTAATGCTAAAAAGCGGGTGAGTGCCTCAAGCAGCTCGAGACTGTCAGATTCAGGGTTTCTTTTGATTCATTCTTTAATGACGCTACACGTGGAAAAGATGTGAATGGCAACAACACAGCTTTAATGTTCATCAGGTGAGTGTGGGCGGTACCTATGAGCTGGTTATAGAGCAGCACTGCAGGCTCCCCGCACAGCTGCCCGTTGAGCAGGCAGCGAGCCTGGACAGAGAACGTGTAGTTGTGTCCCACCAGCAGGCTGCTGATCCTGAAGAAGGTGTCTGTGGTGTTTCCCAGGGACGACGTCTTGTTGGTCACGCTGTCAAACACACGCACTTCGTACCCCTGTGAACAGCGCCCCCAGCAGGCAGAGGAGCACCACAGCAGCAGAAGAGCAGAGCATAAATCAACACTTGGAAAAGCTCATTCTGCTGTAAGAACAGTGGCACCTCTCACATTATTATCACTCACAGTCACTGACATTTGGTTTCAAAAGCAGTGGTTAGCTGTAGGTATCTCACCCTGCTCTCATTGAAGCCCTTCTCTCGGACAGCCAGGCTCTTCCAGAAGAGATATATGTGATCCTTCTCCGTCAAAAATTTCAGGGCTTCAGGCGCCGCAAGAGGAACTACGAGCACAGGAAACGCAGAGTTTATGAAAAGTAAGCACAGGGGAGTAGAATCTGCTCTGCACGAAGCGACATAAGACATCATATTTAGGGATGCGTGCAATCAGTCAGCCAGATGATTAAATGAGTTCATCTAGTTGGTAAAAGAATATTTAGATTTGAAACATGCACAACGCCGGCTGCTGCAGCTCTCTGTGTGTGACGGGAGAAAAAGAACAGACTGAGATTACTGTGATCACTACTCCTTATTTAAAAAACAACAGCAACAAGCTATCAGTCAAATTCAGCTATAAATGTGTTTAATGTAGAGTTCTTTCTTTATTGCTAATGTTTTTATTTTTAATGAAACTAAACGTATTCAAAAGGAACAATTAGACATCTATTTACAGTTGAATCACATCTGCATTACTATTTCAGGCCAGTCAACGTGTTTCTGTCTGATTTCAAACAGGCCTTTGAACAGTCAGTGTTAACTAGAGCCGATATGCACTTCTGTAACAGTAACAGTTTCCATCCAAACAGAAGCTTTGGTCATTTACAAATCACAGGCTAAAAACATCAGTGAGGTTACAGTTTGTAAGTGTGTGTTTCTGGTTTGTTTGTGATGTACTCCATTTATACTCCACGATGCTCACATGGCTGTTGGCAGTCACAGCTCAGTCACACTAGAGCAAGAATATGAGGACAACCTCCTTGGATTAGGACAAGTTGGCGGTTGATCAGTGACTGAAGAGTTTGTGAGTTTTGAAGTCACACAGTTATACCTGTGCTGAGGGTGAAGCTGGCCTCCTTGCTCATGTTTCGCAGGCGCACAGAGATGCTGTATCGCCCTCCAGGCTCCAGGCCTTTCAGCACGTATTCCACTGTGTTGTTCTGGGTGGTCAGCTTGTAGTCCCGCTCCACCTTACGAATCACATCCCGCATGTGTATTGCATATGTCTAAAGAAACAAGACGGGAATCCAAGATCAGGTGGATGTTAAAAGCTGTGGCGTATCAGGTAATAATATATTTGCGAGGTCATTCTTTTTTATCGGCTGAGTTACAGGATTGTGTTTCATACACGTTTGAACACAGCTGGAGCATCTGCTACAGCACTAACTCACTGCCGTGTTAAGTGTTGTTCAGGATACGAGAATGGTCACCATCGACATCTTACACTGTTATCTCTGCTCAAGTATGAGTATTATTAGAATGACAACATGGATGAGACAAAGGAACAAATACTGCCATAAACATGTTCTGTAGCTAATTTACAGCTAGCTAGCAGCACTCCAAAAAGTTGATTCTGTTCACCTGGACGAAGCGTTTAGTGGGACAAACGTTTCGTCACTCATCCAAGTGACTTCTTCAGACTCAGCTGACCGCAGGTTTCCTCAATCTTATTCAATTCAATTCACTTTTATTTATATAGCGCCAAATCACAACAAAAGTCGCCTCAAGGCGCTTCGTACATACAGAGAAAAACCCAACAATCACATGACCCCCTATGAGCAGCACTTTGGCGACAGTGGGAAGGAAAAACTCCTTTTTAACAGGAAGAAACCTCCAGCAGAACCAGGCTCAGGGAGGGGCGGGGCCATCTGCTGTGATTGGTTGGGGTGAGAGAAGGAAGACAGGATAAAGACATGCTGTGGAAGAGAGACAGTCTCAGCTGACTGCAGGTTTCAATCTTATAAACAGGACATTTGCATAATGACTGAAACCAGCCCACTGAAGGAACAATGGGCTGGGAGGTCAGTTCCTTAATCTTAATTATGCAAATTCTCATGACCATTGATCAACAACCACTGACCAAAACCCACTGATCAAAGTCAGCTGAGACTGAAGAAGTCACCTGGATGAGTGATGAAACGTTTCTCCCACAAAACGCTACGTCCAGATGAACAGAATCAACTTTTGGAGATTTACTGTCCTGGATGATTGAGCATGCATCAAGACCTAGCTAGCAGCAGTTTACTGTAATTGTAGAAACAAAGGCCAGTTATAGCTAATATTATACATTCATATGTTGTAGTATTGTCTTAAATCAGTACAGTTTGACATGAAAAATAAGTCCATGTCATGAACCAAGTAATTTGGCAGCTAATGTGGTCTGTCTCCTAAGCTAGCCGCTCAGGATTTTCCTAGCAATACAGCTAGCTAGCTGTAGCTTAGCTTCACTGGCTCTGCTTATGTTCTAACATCAGCTGATTAAGTAATTTTTAAAAAGAGCAGATATGACACCAGATCAACCTTGGATGATCGTATGAATTAGCTGGCTTTACTCACCCAGGACAACTTTTGCTACAATACGTTAGCAGGCATAATCACTAAAACCTATATGAACTGAGTGCCCTACTGATTTCAGGGTCCCTCACTGACACTGAATCTGACCAATGTGCTTCACAGAAACGTCCCCCACATGCTGAGACAGGACAAAAAGCCAGCTGTGGTCACACTGTTTGGTTAAAATAACAATCCTTCCAGAGCCGCGCTGTAAAATACATGTTAATACAAGGAAAACGCTACCTACTATCTCTTCAACTGTAAATATGAACAAGTTAAAAGGTGTGAAATGAGTCCTTTATATTCCCCATGTTCTGATCGTTTGACATCATCACAATAAGAGACAGGAGTGTACCAAAGGTTTGCTTGGGCTGTCATAGGGGGGCTGCCACTTGAGCGTAGCCTGAGTTTTGTCGACTCGCACACGGTGGAGGTTCCTGGGCGGCAGCTTTTCATTGGGAATCATTTTCACCACAGCGTAGTCGGAGGGAGGACCCAGGAAGGGAGCAACAACCCGCACCTGAACAGAGAACACACAGATCATGGCTAGTGACCGAGTCATGTTACCCATACACAATATGGCCAAAAGAGACACAGCCAGTTGTGAATGCTGGAGTGCTCTGTAAAATGTAAATAAAAGCAGAATGTGGCGGTCTGCAAATCGCTTAATCCCATTTTTCTTCATATTAGAAGACATCAAGAAAATATCAAATGTTTAAAGTGAGAAAATATGAATTCATTTTCAAAAAGCTGGGATGTGGCCCTGATGGATTCTTCTACCATGAAGCCATGCTGGTAAACGCCTTCCATGAAAAAGGCTTTGGGAGCAGATGTTACTCTAACACTTGTATACTTCTCTGACCCTCTCACCTGTGATGGTGACCTCTCACCACCATCATAGATGCAGTGCTGAATACGACGTGCAAGTATCTGGATGTGCAGTGTAAAAAGTTCATTTACAGAACGGTTCGAATAACAGAAATGACTAGTTTCAGCAAATACACGTGAATGAAACTGTGTAATAAATACGATCATTTTTAAAGTGTTTCATTCTGATTTTCAGTTTGGGTTTCTCCTCCTCTATGAATCAGCGCAGATGTCTCTCACTGTTTAAATTTTCAGGGACAACATAAATGAGCTTTAAGGGGAAGCAGGCCTTACGGGGTTGAAAGCTCGTTTCGGTGGAGGATAACCTGAGGGGCTGTACCAAGGCCCGGATCATTCTGCATTCAGGGTCGGTGACTCTGAATGTTCACGTCCATGCTTCGTAATAAGTCTAACGTGTGCTGGAACATATTCCCCTTCACACTGGGAACGGCAGCCTACGCTGCAGTCACTCAGCAGGCTGGCTCCGTGATTCTGGCGTGCCTGCTTTCAACCCTCGTTATTATTCCAGTTTAGTCTGAAAACTGTGTTTGCATTTTAATTTATTCTTCACTACTAAGCTTAGATCACCTGCTCGCGTCGCCACCGTCAAGCACAAACGTGACAGCACAGCTGTGGAGACGATCGCAGCTGCATTTGCACCTGCGCTCGTTAAACTTAACGCTGAATAATTTCCACTCCTGCGCTTTTTGTGTTTTCAGGTGGGAGATTTCGCCCTTCCCTTTACTCTCACATGTCACACTAACTAGTTCTTCTGGAAGTGATCTGGCTTCGTGCCACGAGCAAACTTTCTCAGAGCAACAGCACGGAGCGGCGCCGTGTTCAGAATAGAGATGGACCGATGTGATATTAAGTATCGGTATTGGGCCGATACTGACCTAAATTACTGGATCGGATATCGGAGAGAAATAAAAAAAATGTAATCGATCCATTAAATATCAAAAAAAGCACCTCACAAAACTTGCGGCATGGCGTAACTCTGCTCATAACGTTAGCACGTCGGAGCAGTGTGCGTCACGTGATAGAGAGGCTGTGGCGTACAAGACCTGTCGGCGGTCTGGTTGAGCATTTGTAGCCTCGCTACCAACCCGGCATTTCATCTCCGAGAAAGTTATCCCAGAGAGAAGAAAGCAAGTGTGTAAGTTCATCTCTGAATGTTTGTGAAGCGTTCCAGCGTTAAGCTTAACAACAGATATATGGAGCGACTGCCTCTCCTTGCTGCTACTTCAATCATGAACCTGATCAATGATCAGCTGATCGTCTCTGTTGTTTGTTTTTGGCCCACTTTGCACCAGAAAGAGGAAACCAGCGGCTGAACAACAGCAGCACGTTTAAGCTTGATCAGCTGTTGTTAGAATGTATTTAATATTACTTTCTACTCCAGGATCTTTTTCTACAGCTGACGGCTGTAACTGTGCAGGGGCGGATCTAGCAAAGTTTAGCCAGGGGGGCCGATAGGGCATTAACAGGGAAAAGGGGGCACAAAGACATACTTCCCTATTTTTTTTTTGATGGGAGTTTTAGAGCCCTATTGATTAGGTTGCTTACTCTTTAAAATACCAGAATAGGGAGGATGGAGCAGGTTTAAGTTTATTAGATTGATCAGTTTTGCTGAGCTATGAAATATTTTGTTGTATTTTTTGCATACAGGTGTAACAGAATAGCTTTAGTGTTGTTGTTTATTTAAACTTGAGTATCAACTTATACAAAATGCAGCAAGATATTAAAAAACTGTTTTATTGATTAAAAAACACTATATCGGATTCATATCGGTATCGGCCGATATCCAAATTTATAATATCGGTATCGGACATAAAAAAGTGGTATCGTGCCATCTCTAGTTCAGAAACGGCAGGTACTCAAACACGTGAAACACACGTGTGAGATTCTGGAATGTTCCTTTAGAGAGGCGTGTTTAAGAACGGAGGAAAGACTCACCAGGAAGAGAAACTGCTCATCGCTGTCTACGGTCACTGTGAGGCCGACAGAGGGTGTGCGCACCTGACGAGGACTGAGGTAGAAGTCCAGGAAGGAGGTGGCATAAAACACACCGTACACCTGCGCGCACACAGACACACACAGACACACACAGTTTCAATGGTCAATACGTACGTTCAACAGAATGTGAAATAACAAATGTAGGAGGATCTGGTTGGATCTGAATGATGTCCTCAGGATCCTTTGTTCATTAATGTGGTTCCATGCACATGCAGCGTGTGTGCAGTAATGCATGAGTGCAGGTCACTGCCTGCCACACTCAGTCTCCTCATCGACTGTCACCATGACACACTACTACACACCATGGTATGTTTTTAACATATTTTTGAGCACCTATGATATAATATGATATAAGCTTAGTGTTAAAGGATGTGTTATGGTTGCGATATCAGCCAACACTCCACATCATGACTGAGTGTCGTCATCTTAATGTTAAAGAAAACATCATAAACCCAGACTCTGTTCTGGATCCTGGCACTCAGATTTCAGCTTGGATGCATCAGCCTCTCTCTCAGTTACAAAGCCAACTCCACAAACATGGGATGTGGTGTAAATATAAATACATGAGAAAATGTACCATTAAAAAGGGTCGTGTTTACTGCTGTGCACCAACCTGTCTGCTGTTACAGAGGAACTCAGCTGCTGGACTTTTACCAGAGCAATGTTGTCCCGTGTCTGCTTTAGGATTGTAGCTGCTCAGTCCAGTTCATATCACATGTTTTCAGTCGGTGGACGGTTACGCCGTCGGTTAATCAGACTCCATTCCCATTATATTTAACTTTTAGCTCCACACTTTTCCAGAATTGTATTTAAAATCTTTTTAACTGCTGGATTTCTCTGATAAAGTCAAAGATGAAACAACAGGCTGCACACTCTTACGTCATTTTCTATGATATTGTTTGTGTGAGTTTACCTGAGCAGGCGATCCACTGACGGTCCAGCTGCACTCCACAGCTGTCTGGTTGACAGCCTTGGCCTTCAGGAGGGGCCGCTCTGGCTGCTGGCCTTTGGTCTGCTGATGTGTCAGCGTGGTGGGGCTGTCTCCGACGCTGGTGTGAGCCCACACAGCCACCTCATACACCGTCCCTGCTGTCAGGTTTGTAGCTGGAAACAGACAGCACACGTCAACACCCACACTGCCAGACAAATGCACGCGTGACAACAACAGTCTGATCGGTACCTTTGAGGACCCCTGATGTGAGCGTGTAGTTTCTGTTCTCCTTCACGTGTGTGTCAAACTGCCAGGACAGGATCACAGTGTACTGTTCCACCTGAAAGAAACAAACAGGGCCATCAGAGGCGTTCGCACAAACGGGAACCAAAAAACACAAGAAGAAAACCTGAGGAGAAGCTCTTACTTTGTACTCAGAGTTTAATGTAAAGGACAGGCTCATGGAGTCGTTGGTGATGCTGTCGAGGTTCACAGAGGGAGGAGGCAGGGCTGCAACACAGGAAGGAGTCAAAGGTTTCCCTGGTTTCACACAGCTGATGATGAGACATTTATAGGACCGGCCGTACGACGTACCTGCCCCACTGTTCATTATTTGGGCGCGATCGGTTGAGGAAGTGATTCTGAAAATATTTACTGCTATTTAAAGTTATTATTTATAATATGTGTTCATTTCTGACAGGCCTCCAACACACTTGTGTTCTTACTGAAGGAGCTAGCACACACAAAAAAGCCTCCACCTGAAATGTTTCCTAAATACCAGTAGATGGCAGCGGGGAGCAGCTTTTCAAACTGCAGCGAGCCTGAGACCAGCGTACCTTTCTTAGGGGTGATGGATTTCACCTCGGACCAGTTTCCCACACCTCGACTGGTCACCGCAGCCACCTGGGGAAACATCAGCGGTTACACACGCTGCACGTGACGCTAACACAGCGGATGTTTGTGAAGCGGTGCAGGCGTCTTACCCTGAAATTGTACTGCGTTTCTGGACGCAGCTCGTACACCTTAGTCGTCTCTGATTTGGATCTCGCCGACGTCCAGTCAGCGCTTTGAAACACGCTGTACTCAACCTGTCGACAAACACAAATAAAAGGATGTTTAGCCACAAAAACCCACGACTAGTGAATGTGGAGCCTTTAATGAGCCGAGTCATCTCCTGGCCCAGAGGTGGGTCGTTTTAATAAAAGAAGCTGGGCTGCACCAATAAGCTGAACCGCTACAGGTACAAGCAGATGCTACAGTCACTCAATGAATATGTAAAAACATCAACACTGCATCTGTTTGATCAACAATCTCAAAAACTATTTGTCAA